GCCAATCTGGGCTGCATTGCAAGACCCTGTCTCCTCCCTCACAAAAAGTAAACTAAAGGTAAGCGTCCCTTTAAAATTAGTCTTCAATGATTTGTTGATTTAAAAATAGGAGTGCTTACTGCTCTCTTAGATTTGGGCATTAATACTGATTTTCTTGAAGGATTAACAGTGTTTATTTAGATACTGAAATTTTCACAGTGGAGCCTTTTTATCTGAAAACAAATCACTTAGTATATACTTCTGAACTTGACAGTTATCTTTTAAATAATTAACTTTGATACTATTAATTTTCACTGCCATGTGCATGTGTATTGTTTCATAACAGAGTTAATGTTTTTGAGGTATAACATTGCTATATTTTCTATTTTCAGCTGTTTGTATATTGTGGATTATATGGTCAAAATAGAAACAAGATCAGTTTTTTAGCTAAAGAGAAGTCATCAAAGAATCAGTTTACTCAGATCTTTATAGAGTCTCTTTACTAAAAAAAAGCTTTGAAATTTTTAGATTCAGCTAAATTTGACAGTAATGAAGAAGATACTGCTTCTGTTTTTACACCATCATTTGGTCTGAAGCAAACAGATAAAGTTTCAAGTAAAACAGTCGCTGCTAAAAAGGGTATGTACTTTATACCTGCTTGTGTTATTGCATAAGCTATGTACAGATGATTGATATGAAAGGGAATTTGATACAATTTTAAACAATTTTAAAATTGTTTTAATTTTAATACAATTTTAAAATTTTAAATTTGCATGGGTACTTCACTATGAAACTTACAACTAAAATATTACAAGAATCCTCTTTGCTTTCTAATAATGTGAAGGAGTTGCTAAAATACCTTTTAGACCATATTTTAAAAGGATAGCCCCCTCCGCTTTCAGATGTTTGTTTTTATGCCTGTATTCTATATATGAGGTAAAACATGCTAGTATTGCAGTTTAGTTGATGGTGGTGCATGCCTTTAATCCCAGAAGTCAGGAGGCAGAGGTAGGTGGACCTCTGTGTGTTCCTATAGTAGATTTAGTCATGCGGATTCAAAAGGAGTAAAAGCCACGGTCTTTGGCTCCATCTTCCATGTGTAGTTCCTCCCGCTGTTAGCCAATGAGGGGTATTATGTCAAGCATCTTGGCTTGAGACTCAATTGTATTTTTCAGTCAAGTCAGCAACATTTTTTAGTTTTTAATAGAAAACTTCATAGTTCATTTCAATCTATCTAATACATTTGTTTTCAGTACTCATTTTTATTACACAAGTAAGAAGTGACTATAGTGTTTATATGAAATGTAAATACGTTTGTTTTTAAAACATAGTATGGCAAAATGAGGCTTTGTTTCTACTGGTCTAGGATTTTCATGTTTCTTTTCACATAAAAAATGCCAAGTCTGGCTTTCAACTATTGGAGGGAAATGAAGTGCTTTGTATTTGTTCTATTTGAGGATCCTATAAAAACGCTTTCCACCACTGAATTATTTTTATAAGCTAGAACTTACTGTGTAGTTGTACATGGGTTATAATTAGTGTGTGTCAGAGATACGTTTTTGATAAGTATATTATACTGACCAGTTAAAGGATGTTTGCTTAATAGGTAAACCACCTTCAGATACGGCCCCTAAGGTCAAGAGAGCCCCTAAACAGAAGAAAGTAGTAGAGACTGTAAACTCAGACTCAGATTCTGAATTTGGCATTCCAAAGAAAACTACAACACCAAAAGGTGAGTCTGTATAATCCTTAAACACAAGCTATAAGGAAAATATTTTGTTTCTTCAATTTTTTTTGAGTTTGGTGATGGGGTCCCTGTTTTATTTTGAGTTGGGTTATATGCAAGTAATATTGTGATGCTTTAGAGCAAAGGACATAGAGCAGTTTAGAACAATTACTCATCAGTTAAACATTGACAAGATTAAATAAACATACTAAAAATAAGCTTGAAAGATGCCACAATAGAAACCCTTGGGTTTTTACCACTTCTGTCTTACTTTTTTGTTTGATTTATTTGAGGCAGGGTCTTGTTATACAGGCTAAAGAAATAGAATAAGAGGAAAGCTTAAGAAAAAAACAAAAACTATCATAGAACCTGAGGAGGTAAATATATATCTATATATAGGCATGTGTGGTTTGAAGCTTTGTAAGTTTATCAGTTTTGACACATAACTTAAATATTCTTGTAATAAGTTTTGTTCCTAAGAGCTATATTTGCAAAATACTAGTCTTTTATCAGGGTTTAATCATTGAAACTTATTTCCAGGATTTTCTCACTTTTTTTAAATATATTTTTTAAAATACTCTTTAGTCACTTACACTCCAGAATTAAAATGGTGCTACCAAAGTATATGTATGTCATTTATAGCAAGAAAGTAGGATTGCAAACCCCACTATTGGGCATGCCAAAAATGTAATTTTAACACTTGGGCATTTATCTTATTTACCTTTGGGAGCAAAAACATCTTTTCATATATTTAAGGTAAAGGCCGAGGGGCAAAGAAAAGGAAAGCGTCAGGCTCAGAAAATGAAGGTGATTATAACCCTGGAAGGAAAACGGCAAAAACAGCCAGCAAGGTAAGCAAGAACACCGCAGACCATGGCTCATGATCTAATGTAGAGTGCTCACATGTGGCCACTCTCAGCAGCGGGAGACAATAATTTGTGTAACCAGTCTACTTCTTATGTAAAGAGAACGCTATAAATCAGCTTAACTTCGAGTCTTCTATTCCACTTAGTGAACTATTGTAGGTATATGCTACTTGAATAGTAGAATATCTTATGAACTTGGATTAATTTGATTTTTAAAAATTGAGTTTGACTGTGCCTAATAGTCATAATTAATTTGACTCTTTAGAAACCCATTTTTTTTTCCTTTTGAGTAAATAAATGGCCTCAGCTGCATTCTCGTCACCACTTATTTTTTCTTCCTATTAAAACTTAAAAAGACACATGGAGATGGTTATAGCTTCTCAGATCTGTCCTTTCCATCAATTCCCTTCTCTCTGTCACTCTGTGACATTTTAAGGTATTTTATCAATGCTTGTGATAGTGTATGCTATGCACTGTGCATAGCCTTGCTCTGCTCCTGTGAATTCTGAGTATGTTCTCAGAAACAGGGTGACTTGAATGCTTTCTGATGTGGACATTGTATGTTCTTGTTTAGTAATAAATAATTTTGGAATAGTGATGTCGCATTGACAAGGCTATTATAACAAGAGCCCAATTACTATATCTAACCTGTTTTTCTTCCATAATTCACTTTAGTCTTAAGTTAGCATGTCAATTCTAATTTTAAAAGAATGATTATTGGGGCTGGAGACATGGCTCAGAGGTTAAGAGCTGCCTGCTCTTCCAGAGGTCCTGAGTTCAATTCCCAGCAACCACATGGTGGCTCACAACCATCTATAATAAGGTCTGGTGTCTTCTTCTGTCATGCAGGTGAATACGCAGATAAAACATTGTATACATAATAAATAAATAAAATATTTTCAAAAAAAGAATGATTATTGCTAATATGCCATAAATGTAAGTATAAGGAATAATAATTCTTAACACTACACTTTCCTTAACGTTGGTATTTTTAAATTTTTTTTTCCTTTGGGGGTGTCTAGAAACTGAAGAAAACCTCTTTTGATCAGGATTCAGATGTAGACATCTTCCCCTCAGACTTCACTTCTGAACCACCTGCTCTCCCACGGACTGGCCGGGCTAGGAAAGAAGTAAAATATTTTGCAGAGTCTGATGAAGAAGAAGATGTGGATTTTGCAATGTTTAATTAAGTGCCCAAAGAGCACGAACATTTTTCAAAATATCTTGTGTTGTCCTTTGTCTTTTCTGTCTCAGAATTTTGTACATCTGACTTATTTTAATGTGATGATGTAATTGATGGTTTTTTATTATTGTGGTAGGCCTTTTAACATTTTGTTCTTACACATGCAGTTTTATGCTCTTTTTTACTCATTGAAATGTCATGTGTTGTCTGATTGGCTTGTAGAATTGTTATAGATTACCGTGCATTAGCACAGATTTTAATTGTCATGATTGCAGACTACAGACCTGCTTTTTGAAATGAAATTTAAACATTAAAAATGGATCTGTGTTCGCAGACTCTTTACTTAAAGTGAAACCATAGTAAAAACTCTCACACACCTTTAAAATAAATATATTTATTCTTTGCCAGGAGACTCCATGGAAAAAGGTAAACAGTATATGAACATAGGAAGCAATGTTAAACCATCTCAATGTACAAACAGAGCCAGTGAAGGTACATCACAGACTTTTGCTAATATATCAAAAACAAAAAATTCCACTAGTGCTTACATGAGAACTCAGAACCTGACACTTCAGTCTATCAGCCACTCTATCACAGCTGTCAGTCTGCATCATAGTGATTGAACAAGGCCAGAGGAGGCCACTTGCCCATACCTTCAAGCATCAAGACTGGGGGAAATCCAGGATCAGGCATGAGTCAGGAAGGTCCCTGGGCTACTAGAGTCCAGATGGCAGGCTCGCCTGCTGATTATCCTGTGATATTTCTCCAATGGCTTGTGAGCAGGTAAACAAACTAACACTGGACAGTGTTTTGCCTTGGAGGCTATCATGACTGTAAAAATGTATCATTTTTCATTCGGTAATTGTGTCATTAAGGAATAAACCACTTTTAATTTAAAGTGACATTAACAATTGAACAGATGACATTGGATTAACCAAACTGGCAGTTACACTGATACAGAATTCTTTTCTGCTAGTGCAGTGAAGTGCACTCTATCTGGGCAACATAAAAGAAAGGATGCAGGTTGAGAGCATCAAGGAGCAAGGCGAAGCTTCCACTACTTAAACCAGAATGTCTTTAGTGTTATCCTGTACTGTACAAAGGTCCTGGTTCCTTACCGTGAGGCCTTGTTATTCACGAAAGCAAGATGTACAGTGGTCTGCTCCATAACCTTGGTGTCATGGTTATTGAGTATGCAAGACAAAAGAAAGCACCAACATACAGTATAGAAAGAACAGAGCCGTACTTCTGTATGTACAAAGTCTTCAGAAACTTAACCAGGGCTAAATCATCTCAACTGGGTCTTTGCCATGCATCTTGACTGTTCAGAGAGGAAAGTAGAAGCTTTAAACTAGTTTCTGGTGGCATGAAATGGCTGATTTTCAGAATTTGAAAAGTTTGTATTTTTAGGCAAATTACACAGGAATATATATTGATACATATGAAAACTTCTTGGTCCTTTTTGAGTTTAACATATTTCAGTCCAAAAACTAAGCAGCAGTAAAAAATGTTTTCCTTGCATTTTCCATGTGGAACTGAAGGCCCTGGGGGAATGTCTCACTGCAGCAGAGGTGACTGACTCACTCCACTGTTCTCCACTGAGCTGGGTGAGACACTGGGGCTGTGCTCGGCTGTATTCCCAGTTGAACTTGGGGTCAAGGGTTCATGTCCTTCAGAATTCTCCAGCATTTCCTGAATGAGAGGTGGCATTGATCCAGGAATTTCCATTTTCAAGGTAATTACACGTTCTGCACCTTTTTCGAGAGATAATGGAAAACCTGTTAGCTAAGGCTCAGCTAAGGAACCAACATTCACCCTCAGGTATTTGAAAGAGTTGTGAAATACAGGTATCAAGCGACTTATATCTTTGTTGCAAAGAACCATTTATTAGCAGTAAAAACATAAAGGTGTTTAGAGTGGGAATGTCAGCCACTGGAATGTCAGTGTCACATGTGCTGTGAGACGCCAATTAGCTGGTTCTCAGAGACAGGCTGATCCACCACTCCCTTTAAGTACAGAATATGTACTAACAGGGCACCCCTCAGAGGCTCTCTGAGCTTTGTTACATTTTCACTTTAAGGAAAAGCAGTGGAGATATGTCATGTGCATAATTTGACAGCTGCAGTGCTTCAGCCATATTCAGGAAATTTACAAAGAGAAGTCCCTGATGAAAGCTCAGAAAAATATGGGTGAAGGGATGGGTGGGCAGTTTCCACAATGGAAAGATCTACTTGAGTCAGTATGTGATGGTTTTCTGAACCCCGTCCATCCAGCACTGGCTGCTTTCACGACATCACACATCTCACAGCCCCCACATGCAGCTGCTTAGATGGAAATATATAAATAACAGGAAAAATACCTTAGAACCTTGTGGCTAGTGTTGCTGGACTCTGCTAATATGGGCCTTAGGACATTTCTGTTTGTGGCTGTTAGTCCTCAGGTCACTGGCATAGCTATCTATAGACAGTGATATTAGCTGCATGCTCTCTCTCTTTCTCTCAGTTAAAGACCTCATTCAGTTACATTTACTCAAGCATTAGTGTCTTTTTGCTTCTCTTAATTCCATGCTGTGGATGAACTTAGAATGTCTCACTGAAAAGAACCAAAAACTGAGATTTCTTGTCAAACAAGTTCACTGTGCATTTAAGCACCTTCGGAAATGTAGAGTCTGTCTTGGCTTGCCAAGATCCTCAGGTGTGGAGTTTGCTAGTGGAGAGGAACATGGCAGGTAATAGCATAGGTTGGCACAGGGAATAATTGCTGAGTCATTTAGACACAGAAAAACCCTCTGCACTCAGCTACAAGATGGCTTGAGGCATTTCTATAATTGCCTGAGTTGCCACATAGACTGAGAATCATGAGGTGAGAGTAATGTCTCTCAAGCAAGAATTCCTTTACGCAGAAATGCAGGAGTTAACTTGTTCACACCAGAGCTGGGCCCACAGTGACCGTCATTTTTCTAGGGGTTAGGATGCCATGGAAAAGTAGGCCAAGTGTATAGAAGCCCGAGGTATCCAGAAGGCTGATATGAAATGTGTGGAATCAGAAAGTTAAATATGCTCTGAAAAAAAGGGGTGGTGGTGAAATGGACGAGAAGGCTAAGAGCTTGCTGTGCAAGTTGGTTAACTTGAGTTGGTGCCCCAGAATGTACATGGATTGAAGGAGAAAAGCAACTTAACAAAATTGTCCTTTTATCTCCAAGGGTGTGATTGTGAGCCCCAATAATAGTTTCAAAAAACACCATCTGGAAGAGTGGCTCTTCGAACTAGTCATCCCATTTTAAAACAGTATAGTCTCTTAGTATCACTGGGTACTGATATCTGCTTTCTGCTTCTACTATCACACACTAGAGACAACATCAAAATGTCTCCCCAAGGAAGCCTGAGGAGCTAACCGTGCATACACACGAGGGCTCAGACAATGCTTAATTCCTTTTGGTTTCTATGAAATATACATCCTAACTTAAGCAATAATGGGACTCCTCAGATTAGAACATGGGATTTAAGAAGCAGAGGCTGGCAAAGCCCTGCTGTCCTCACCACCCTGAAGATATACCTTTAGCGCTGATGCTGCGGAGATCTGTGATTTTCATTAAGATCTTTGGAAACATGTGGGGCTTGCTGGGCCGTCGTTTTCTAATGTAAATCTTTAGTGCTTCCAGCAGTGGTTCTTGGAGCTTGTCTACTTTTGTTGGTTCCTCAAGGTCCTGGCGGTCTGGATAGCAGGAGGAAGAATTAAGTGTTTAGTGTCCAGACAGCTGAAGGACTGCTGGCCATCTCCTTTCTTGTCTCCCATTTCTCCTGTACAGTGGCTCTATTTGGTGACAAAGTCACACACTACCCTGAGTAAATGCAATTGATTTAAGCAGGGAAACTTGAAGATAGTTGTCCCTTAGTAAGCATGTTTGATGGCCACTTTGGTACAAAGGCAAGAATTACCTCTCATGACCAGACGGTGTCAGTATTGAACTGAACTAAAGAACATCTGAAAGCAAGGTAAATAAGCCTGCCCCCTTAATTATAACCACTACTTTCAAACTAATGTTAGCGTCTGGTTAGCCAGCCTGGGTCACCATAAAGAAGGGGCCATACTTTATTCCAGCCCACCAGGAGCACAATGGAATGGTGGGGGAGCTCAGGTGGTGCTTTGAGTTTTTTATTAACAACATGCAATTCACTTAGGTCATAATTAAAATGTCCTTAAGCATATAGCAGAATGACCCTGCCTTTACGAAAGTAATTGTTTCCCACAAGAGAAATTAGACATTTTGGAATTTCTTTCAGAGCAGAAGGAGTTCAAACAGTACTACTTAATTTCTAACAGGAAAAGGTACAATTGCCCATAGCATGAGAGTGGTATTCACATGCCTTTCTCTATGCACAAGAACCCCAGTGGAACTGCATGCTTTCTGCTCTGTGTGGGGTCTCATGGAGGTCCCTGGGGGAGCCAGTACCTCCACAGATTAAGCAGATGGCACTGAGAAGGCCAGTTTCCGTGTCGTCCATTTCCAAAGGCAGGAGCTGGTTGGCAAAGGTGAACACAAGGTCAGTCAGAGGACCGAAGCCAGCATTGTGCATCTGAGTTCGATTTAGGGTAAGGCCATCAGAGAAGGTCATGGTGTCTTGCTCTGGAGTATACCTGGTACAAATTCTGAGAATCTGGAAGAAGAAAAGTATGTATGTACACTTGCTGGATTATCTATACCAGCCTGTCCTGACAGCACCAACCAGATGTATGGTAGAAGAAACAGGAAGTCCTGAGGAGCCTGGGCCTCACATGGGCAGCACGCCCCACTGCTCACTGTTAATGTCTTCTTTCATTAGACGATGGCAGAGTACAGAGCTAAAATCTTCAGGGAATAATACGTAGGACACACATTGAGAAATAACTTTTTACTAAAATAAATCAGCATTTGATTGAAAGAACTATTTCCCAAGTACTTACCTCTCAGGCCCTAAGCCAGGTCCTAGGGAGAAGAAGATAAACAAGATTCTATTTTCAAAAGTTTAGTCAACCAAAAATAAGAATGATCCTTACCAGCTGTTATGCTAATCTTCATATCAACTTTATGGGATTTAAAATGGTTACGGGGATACACACACTTCTGGGCGTGCCTATGTGATGGTACTTTAGAAGGGCTTAGCTGATCGGCAAGGTGCACCCTGAATGTGTGTGGCGCCATCTCATAGGCTAGGGGGTTCCAGACAGACAAAAAGGGAAGAGGCAGCAAGTCAGCTGAGAGCTGGTATTCTCTTGACTCTGGATACAATGTGATCAGTGCCTCAATCCTGCAGCCACGACTTTCTTATCATTTGGCTTGTATTCTCAAACCCTGAGCTTGAATGAACTTCCCTAAAGTTGCTCAGGCCACATTGCTCAGTGTCATGGCTAACAATGAATTTGACTCAAACGCAAGGAAAGCCCTCTTAGAAAACAGTGTGATTGTAGACACACAGGCAGCCATCATGCAACACCCAGGAACAGCCAGCAGTGTGCCAAGGATCAGGAGGAAGTCATGGTCAGAGTCGTGGGCACTTGTAGCCCACCACGGAGCAATGGCAGATTCCCTCTTCTAGAAGCCTGTCCCTCCTTGTGCTCATAGTTACTGCCTAGGCCTCACTGTGCTCCACACCCTCTACTTCAGCCCACCTTCAGGCTGCAGAACTTCTGCTTTCTCTACCTTACCCTAAAGACCCCAGGCCTGGTGAGCTCTCTGCAGTCTCCAGTCCTTATGAGCTGTATCTTCTGTACCCTCATGGAGCTGGACTTCCATGAAGCATTCCCTGCCCCCCCCCCCCCGCTATGCAGAGTATCTGCCAAGGGGAGGAGGGAGCCCAGAGGTTTTTCCTGACATAATTAAACTGAGGGTGGCTCCCTGAAAGCCCACTGTCATGTCATGAGCAGTAGGATGGGTTTGGGAGGGAAGTCCTGACTCTTAACAAGACTGTATGCATAGTGATTCCCAGAGGGACACAGTACCTGCCTTTCAAGCCCTTACCCTACCCTCAGCCCCCATGGTTTTAAAGCAGAACCTGGCCTTCCTCTCTAGAACTCTGGAAGCCATGGTTGAGGAATTCCCCTTTCTCTCAGCCATAGAAAAGGCCACAGTGCTGCTATGCACTCAAGCCGCAGGCCTACCACTCAGAGTACTAGGTGTTGGGAGACCACTCTCAGGGTATGGGGTAGTAGATTAAGCCTCTTTGGGTCATGAGGATGCAGCCCCAAGAAGAGATTAGTGCCCTTTATACATGAGGGGACCACAGAACTCAAGCCAGTGAGGAAGCAGCTGGATGGCCTATGACCTAAGGTCCTAATTACACTGGCTGATCATGGGCTTCCAGCCTCCAGACCTGGGAGCAATGGTTTGCAGCTGCTGGCTCTTTGATTTAATAGCTGGCTTAAGACAGAAGTTTCCCCAGACCACAAGTTATGCCAAGAGCTAGGCCAGGCATTCCCCCGTAGTGAGCTTAGCCAGGGAATCCTCATGGTCTTGAGCACCTACAGGGCTATAATATGGGTAGGTTGCAAGTATCTCATGGAGCTCCAGGGCAGGGTGAGGAGGACTCATGAACAGAAGGAAGGAGGTGCTCTTTGTAAAGACTGGTCTAGAAAAAGGGTATGCAGATTCCAGGGAGCAAGCCATCACTGAGGCCAGTGAGGAGTCACTCCCATGATCACATGGTGTGGTGGGGGTTGGGGGTTGTCACAATGGAGAGGGATACAAGGAAAGTCCTGTCAAAACCCAGGGACCTCTGAATTTTTGTCAATCCAGTGCAATTCCAACACATGCAAGGGCTCTCCAGATCTAGGAAATGACTGGGATGTAATCTCAGAGGCTCCTGGAAGCCTCCAACTCCTTCTTTCCTCCTTGCCCTCCTCCCCTTCTTCCTACTCCCTCCCTCCTCCTAGAGTTCAGAAAGGAGCCTACCAAGATGTCCAAGCAAGCGGCCTTGAGCAGGGTGATCTGGTCTGCGATGGTCAGGCCGGTGAAGCCCGGCAGACGCTTGGCGAACTCCACGATCTTAATAATGCACTTGGTGGCCAGCTCACTGAATTTATCCCAGAGGCCCAAGTCCAGCCGGACCCGGTGGTCAGCACTGGAATTCTGAGAGGGAGAAGAAAGAGAAGAGAATGAATGACAGCATGCCATCAGCGGATAGGAATGGGATGCTTCCTGTGAATGGGCTCACGATCACTTTCTCTGAGCTACCTCTATTTCCTGCTTTCAAACTGCACAAGCTTTTACAGCAGCCATTAGACAGCCAAGGAGCAAGGGAGGGAAAGTTTCTCTACATGGCTCTCCACTCCTAACAAAGGAACGACAGACCTACTGTTGTATATCCGATGAACTGATGCCTCTAGACATTGCTCCTCACTGGCTGTTACTGCCATGTGGCTGTCCTGAGGGAAAACACACCACTAGGCTTCAGTCTATTCTTGATCAAAGCTGAGTCGGATGAAGCCTCTGATGTACTCACAGGGAGACATAGGAACATGGACCATCAAGGACATCAGAGACCATGAAAAGCCAAAGAGCCACCCAAGACATTGCACAGCGACAGCTATGGAGAAGGAACCAATGCTCGGATGCTAAATAGTGACTATGGAGTGAACGGGAGGGTGCCAGCAACAAAAGCTGGCAGACACCATCTGCAGCAGCCAGTACTATTGTACTAAAGGGAGGAGGGTGGGTGCGTGGGCCATCGCAGGGCATCGTAGAAAAGGCAACTGATGGAGGATGGGACAGTGGCTTCTGGGGATCGTGGGTGGGGCAGGGTGTCACCGGTGCAGGAGGGACCTTTCTATAGTGTTGAGAATGGTTTGCAACACATCAGTCTGTACCTTCTTAGGAGATGAAGCATTATGTCGTGTAAATTACAGTCCAGACACATAGCTCAGATAAAAAGCGGTAGCTACAAGACTTTTACTGGTAGAGGTGTTAAGTCTTCTCTGAGTTCCATTTCAAGCACAGGAAGAGGAGAGACTAACAAGAAGTGCAAAGTCTGAGCAGGCAAAGTGTTCAGGAGGCTTGCTTTATGTAATGTGGTATTGCCATTTGATTGTCAGACTTAGAACATAACTGAAAGCCGTAAGAGTAGGAGGGTGCAGCCTGGCACATATGTCAGATAACAAGGACAGTAACCACTGTGTCAAAGGTGCAAGGAACCAGAAGATGGCCCTCAGAGGCCACAGGTACTATGACAGGGCGATGATGGGCCAGAAGGTGCCATGAAGTGACCACAGGGCTTCATTCTCCTATTCAGCTTCCATGTTGTAGTGAAATGTTTCATAAGAAAAAGAAAGGTCAAAAAGTGACACAGAACAGTTTATGATGCCACTACTAAAAGCTTGGGCCTGCCTGGCTTCCCAGAGTTACAGAGGTCTTAGGCATGGCATCCATGAGTCAAGTGTTCCGGATGTACTCCTGATCAGGTTGCGTCCCTCTAACCACTTCCTTCATCTCTCAGTTTAACTCTCACAACTTCCTCCCTCATTTCTGTCATCATCTCCCTCATCTCCAGGAGACTAAAAGCCCAAATCACCTTAGTGATGGGAGGGTCTCTGGCCCCTGCTCACACTATCCCCCAACTCTCAGCTTTAGCCTCTCAGGTATTCTTGCTTTACCTGAAGGTTGGCTATGGCCTTGCCTCAGGCCTTTGTACTGTCGGATTTTCCCTCTAGATAGCTGTCTTTCATCCTGGCACCATGTACTTCCTCAAGTCTTTAACCAACATAACTTTCTTTTATCCCCTCCTTGGCCTTCTATGAGGACTGCACACCTTCTGGCATTCTCCCCTCCACATCCTGTGCCTGATTATATGCTCGCCTCTAAACATGTGGGTAACTTTCTCATTTGCACATACTCCTTAGCTCATTTGCTTTTCTTTTTTTTTATATATTTCTTTTTTTTATTAATTACACTTTATTCATTTTGTATCCCCCCATAAGTCCCTCCCTCCTCCCCTCCCGATCCCACCCTCCCTCCTCTTTCTGCATGCATGCCACTCCCCAAGTCCACTGATAGGGGAGGTTCTCCTCTCCTTTCTGATCTTAGTCTATCAGTTCTCATCAAAATTGGCTGCATTGTCCTCTACTGTGGCCTGGTAAGGCTGCTCCCCACTCAGGGGGAGGTGATCAAAGAGCAGGCCAATCAGATTATGTCAGAGGCAGTCCCTCTTCCCATTACTATGTAACCCACTTGGATACTGAACTGCCATGGGCTACATCTGTGCAGGAGTTCTAGGTTATCTCCACGAATAGTCCTTGGTTGTAGTATGAGTCTCTGGGAAGTTCCCTGTGTTCAACTTATCTTGTTCTGTTGCTCTGCTTGTGGAGTTCCCGTCCCCTCCAGCTCTTACTATTTCCCACTTCTTACATAAAATTCTTGTCACTGCCTACACCACAGATGACACAAGTTAGTAGAGTTCAGTAGAGCTTAGTGAAGTCGCACAAGCCTTTGCTTGTCTGAGATATCACAGGACAGCAGTTCTGTGCAAGAGACTCCAAGAGGCTGTTTCTCCTGGAGATATCCTAGACCTCTTCATGAACTGCAAAACACCATGGCAAACTGAAGCACCCAAAGAGACTAGATTCCCTAGGCCTGATGCTATAGCCCTCTTGACAAATGCTCCTAGCTCTGCAAAGACAACTTTACATTGAAAATTAATAGCTTAAGTGCCCTGTTTCAGTCAGATCAGTCCACAGAAACCCATAAAGCTCTCTGTGCTTCTCATATCAGTAGGAGGCCACAGGAAGAGTTTGAAGGTGGGAGTCTATAGAAGGCCTCAGAGTGGCAGTGGCATCCTGGTTTCCACAGTGTCCCTGCAGAAACAAGCACACATCCTCTAGATTAATTTTATGTCTTCCTCAAGGATCTTTGTGGAACACAGTATACTCATGGGTATGCGTGTGCAAGATCAAGGCATGTGGCCATTCGGGCTGTAATTAAATTTAATAGGCAGTTTATCCAGTTCACAGAAAGATGCCACAGAAGAGAGGGATGGAGTCGAGCTTGGTGGGAAATCACTTTACAATGGAGTATCCATCTGGAAAAAATGACATTGCTGGATGCAGTCAGTGTGAAGGAAATCTTCATCAGCTTTGGATGAGCAGCTCCATCATGCAAGAGTGAGAATGGGAGGAGGGCCTATGCCTCCTTCTATTAAAGCAGCGAACAACCCAGTAACAGCCTGTCAATCCAGCTCACGATTATGCAAACTGAAGGCAAAAGGCAGTTAATAAAACATAAAATAACCCCGTGTTTTATTATCCTGGCTGCTGGATTCATAGGCACGAGGCTTGAAATGGCTCCTGTATTATCTTCCAGCTGCGGTAGGTGGAAAGCTGCAAGCACTGAGGGGCTGGGAGAGAAGATGCTCAGAAGAAAGTGAAAATGTGCGTAGAGAAAGAGGTGACAGGGAATGAGACCTGGGCTGAGCCAGGCCTTGTTGTGGATAGGACTGCTGCCCGCTTGGGGGGTCACCAGAATTTCTGTAGAAGTTTCTGAGAATGCTGTGCCCTTCAGCCCCCTCCCTCCAGGGCCTTCTTGGGAAAAGCTCAGCCTTACTAATCCAGTTAAATGATATCTTCTGCCATGGCACAGCACCTTCTTTTGGATGACACACTATTGCTTCTAAAGCTGGCATCTCTTTCAGAAAAGTACTCCTCTGTGGTGGAAAGAACTCCAGTGTCTAGAATCCCACTGGTAAGGTTGACTGGCAGCTCCTGGGCAGGTCAGTGGTTTATTTGAACGCTTTAAAGCTAAGGAGCGAAGCAAACATTTCTCCTCCTCCTCCTCCTTCTCTTCTGCCTCCTCCTCCCTCTCTTCTTCCTCTTTTTCTTTGTGGAGCTGTGGATGTAACCCAGAACCATGTGTAGACAAGGAAAGTACTCCACACCAAGCCACATCCCTGTCCTGCTTCTTCTAGTCCAGGTCTCACAGTGCAGCCTGTCTGGCTATCATCTTGCTCTGAATCTCAAGGCCTGGGTTTTTGGGTGTGAGCTACAGAATTTCTTCAGAAGAACTGAATTGAAGTTCTGTAGGAACGTTGCAAGCCTCTCCGGAGAAACCTCCCTTCTTAGGCCCGGAGTCGCTAGCCTATCCCAAGAATGTCTTCTAAGAGCCATTGGTGAAGTGGCTCTGACTTGTGTATTTCACGTCTCCTTCATGAACACATGTACATATGTGCTCGTAAAGTAGCCACTCCTTGTCTAGGCTGCCTCAGGCTTGGGGACATTTTATTCGTCCTATTTTCCATGACCTTCCACAAGCTAAATACAATTATGATCCTGATTAGCTGAAAGGGAGGCTAAGGCCCAGAAAGGGGCAGTGACCTGTACAGGATCCCTGAGTGAACAGGGGTCACAGCAGTCACCTATCTAGACAGGCTGTGGCAGCCATGTTTTTCTTGGTATTCCATCTCTTTTATTTCCCGTTGAGAACTTACTGTCCCGTAAACTTTCCATTGTGTTAGTGACTTCCTTCCTGGTTGAATACTGTCATGAGATAGCTACAAAGTTCCAGAACCACTGTGCTGAGGAAGTCATAAGTGAGACTAGCATCTTTCTGGTCAATAAACATGACCCTAAATCCTATATGACAACATGTCCTTTGGCACGTAACAGCTAGACATGTATGCCAGTGGGAGAACATGGACAAGTAGTGAGAGCTGAAGGAGACAGTGCTCATGGATGCTGCAGAAGGCAGAAGGAAAGGTAAAGAGCAGTACCAAAGGCAGAGGCAGTGGGAGGCTTGGATGGGGTGTCCTGGGACTATCAGGGAGCATGGCCCTGCTCACAGCTGCAGTGTGGACTTCCACTCTTCTGGCATGGGAGGCAAAGGCAATTCCACTTCAAGTAACCCAGTTAGTAAAACTTTTCTGAGGTAGCTCCATGAGACCAACATGGTGAGAACTGAGTGCACCTGGCTGGAAGACAGCAGTCAGAACAGGAACATGACGGGCAGGAGTGTACACCACAGGGGTCTGAGACTTAGAAGTTACAGGCTGGTTCAAGGTGATGCAGCTTTGAGGCGACAGAGAGGGTCACAGCTCTGGACTCATGACTCCCCAAGTGTCAGCGCCCCTGGGGGTCAGCCTTCCTGACCTCTAGGTTTTTCTCCCCTGGCCATCACATACATGATTTCTCTCAAAAGCAAGCCAGGCCTGCAGGCACCTAGAATTGGTTACACGTCCTTGCTGTTGTAGCACCTGTCTCCTATTGGTATGTTCATGATTCTGTCTGTAGCCATTGTTCTGAGTGTTAGAGCTCCTTGAATCCTCATGGCTCACGTGTGCAAACCTCTGCCAGGGCAGCTTATGTCCCACATGCCCCATGAGTGGGGTGAATAGCAGCATGTGGCAAAGTGGCCTGTGTGGCTGGGACACTAGGGTCATAGTTGAAACTTACTTTTCTGTAAGCCAGGCACGTGGCTCTAAATGATGAAGCTATTCACCAGGTCCAGGGAACAACCCTCCACTAAACATACCTTTTCTGCCAGAAACTGTGTAAGACTCTGAGACCTTTTTCTCACAGAATCATCTGACTACACATGAAGATTGTACCACCAAAATTACCAATATGGAGATGAGGGGCCCAGGCTTAAAGGTTTAAGTGCCACCTAAGCAGCATCAGATAGAGCTGAGAGCCTGGTGGTGGGCTACCTGCTCAGGTCTGGGGTAGAGGCAGGTGGGTGTATATTTGTGTCCTTCAAACATCCATTCCCAGGACCTGCTAACATGTCACTAGTTGATTGTAATTTGGAAAATAAAAGCTACAGTGAAAGACCTGCAGAAGTGGCTGTCTGCTGTCTCATTCTCCCCTGCCCACTTATGCCACAGGCATCTGACATGCGTGCCATTCGAGGAGAGGGGCAGGAAGTCTCTAACCTTTGAAGCCACTGCCTCCCTCTAAAAAGCTTTTGATAAATGCTAAGTTGGGAACGGGGAGCTTGAGGCGAAGGTGCTGTGGCTGCTGTTGTTCATGTGTATTCCCACCTACTTCCGGAAAGGATCTGAAGTCTCTTCCACTGAAAACAAAGCCAGATCTGTGCAGACGTAGAATGAATAAAGAAACAGTGTGCGGGAGGCAGCTCGGGGTGCCAGGGGACGGGGTACACCATCCTGAAGACTGTCCATCTGCCAGCACGGAGGGTCTGTCCTCTGATGAACTTGGTCTTTCTCTCTCTCACTCCATTGGAAAGGTCCTCCAGACAGGGTTTGGGATGATGGTCACCAGGAGCCAGATGATCTTGATTATGGTTTAAATTTGAAATGTTCCCCATAGGTTCATGCCTGAGTATTTGGTACCAGGCTGTTTCTGGGGCATATGGAACTGTTTAGAGATGAGGCCTAGCTGGAGCAGGACCAGGGTCACTCACTAGTGGCTAAACTTTGCATGTCATATCCAACCATGTCTCCTGCCATAACATCTGTTTCCTGGTCACTTCAGCCACACTGTCCTGTGCCATGAGTGGAAATACCTCCACACTCTCTCTACCTCCCCTGCCACGAGTAGAAGTTCCCGCGCACTTCTCGGCTATGGAAAGTCCTCTGAAACTATGAGCCAATATAAGTGTTTCTTCTGACAGGCATTTTATCCCAGCAACACAGAACTAACATGACAGATTGGCCCCAAAGTGGGGTACAGGGGAAGGGGTCCAGGAAGCATCATGGACAATGGACACCCCTCAGTCTTAACTTTCAAACTCAGGTTTGGTAGAAGTAGCTTACCTGGAAGGAAATCCCAAGATTCCAGGAAAGAGAACTGGAGTGAGTCAGAAATGTCCACCCCTGAGATAGCTGGGGCTAGACCTTGCTGAAGAATGCCGGCGGAAAAAATAAACTTGCATCATCCTGCTGAGGTGGTAAGAAGGCTGGGGCGGTTCTCCACAGAGGCTGTTTACTGAGGTTGGGACCTTCCTCTAGAGAGCTGTGCCTTATGTAGGAGTAAGATCACTGAAGCAAAGACCAACGGAGGCAAAACCACTACCCACTGCAACGAGGCCGTTTCATCTAGTTACCTTGTGAGTCTGGGTACGGGGCATGGCCAGGCCATATTTAGACATGGCCATGTGGAGAAGAGGGAGGGTCCTTGGTCAATGTGGTCCTTGGTGTGGTTATACTCGGTTGCCTCTCCTGCTCTGCCCCTCTCACTCCTCCTCAGGGGCTCTGCCTCCAAAAGCATGCTCATACCTTTTCTACCATTAGGAGTTTGGTTTGCTCCTGGGCAGGAAGGCCTGCCGCAGTCTGCCTAGCCCACTGCACATGGTGCAGTTTAAGCCCTGTGTCTGCCACTGACCACTAAACAAAGGAACAGGTGCGCGATCCTTTTATAGCTTGGCTTACCCGTGTGTGATATGGGCCAGCAGTCCCCACTCACAGGGTCTTCAGAAGAAGGAAGGGCTGAGGGTTCTGATCATGGCTCCTGCAAATGGTCACTACTTGCTAAATACCAGCTGCAAAGTTGATAACCACTGAAACAAAGACTACTGATTTGCTAGCGAGTGTTCGCCATCACTTACGTGTGGAAAGCCAGGCAGCCCATCTATCTTTGAAGGACCTGTAGGTTTTCCCCTTTCCTTTCTTTTCTTTTCTTTATTTCTTTTTTCTTTTTTTTTGACAGAATTTAATTTTTTTTATTTTTTATTAATTACAGTTTATTCACTTTGTATCCTACTTGTAGCTCCCTCCTTCCTCCCCTCCCAAACCCACCTTCCCTCCCTCTTCTCCACCCATGCCTCTCACCCAGTCCACTAATAGGGGAGATCCTCCTCCCCTTCCTCGCTTCTCACTCTTTTCTGGTACAGTCTGCTATTCCAGAGGATGCTGTTTCAGAGCTTTGCCCTTGGCCTCAGCCAGAGCCAATGTCTCCACCTTTCAGTTTAAGGCTCACGTTGACGCTTAGCCCAACACAATGATACAGTGCTTATAACATAGTTGCTGATAGCTATTTTCAAAAAGAAGAAACATCCTGTTCACGGGCACTAGTTGTTAATCACTGTGACTTCAGAGCCAGTCAGGATGGATCTGTGCTGGATAGTGATTCAGTCATGCCCCAGCCACATGAAAGTCCCATACCAGAAGTATTCTAGGAACCATCTAATTTCATCCTTCAGGCCATGACAACACCCCATGGAGAGGTGAAACACGTCAGTTAGCTGAGTGAGGCGTGACTCTTGGCCTGTGCTGTGATATACCTGTGTCTTTATGTCCTTCTTATGTGAATATGACAATTTCTTGGTGGCATACAACCTTATCCTACTCTGGGCTGGGACAGTGACCCCCTACACAGTGTGTGTGTGTGTGTGTGTGTGTGTGTGTGTGTGTGTGTGTGTGTGTCGGGGGGAATAGGCCCAGCAGGCAGGCCACCATTTCCTCTTCTCCTGGCAAGGGCAGAAAAGACCCTCAAAGGTCGTTCTGGGCCATGGCTTTTCAATATTGCCGGAAGAGCACCAATTCAGCATCCCAGAACCTTGTGTAAACCTTCTGGCCAGAGTCTGTGGCCTCTTAGGATTTCCAAGTGCCTCTGCTATTGTGAGCTTCTGAAGTGCCACTCTTCATCATTCTCAGCTTCCACACATGTAAAACTTTCTGTGTGGCCAGGAAACCCATTGCCTTCTATCACTGCAGCCTCAGCTCCCATAGGAGCCTCGGGCTCCCTGGGCGTCCACCTGGCATTTCCAGCACCAAGTTGTCCAGAGCCCCTTGGCTTGACCTAGCCAGCTCTGCCATTTACTGGTAGGCACTAACATCCAAGCACAGGACTCCATGTACTCCTAAAGTGTAGCTTCAAAGCCCCTCTCTTCACTGTTTCTGTTCCTTCCTGGCATCATCACTGATTCTTTTTTATCCTGAGGATTTTCATGTTATTATTTTCCCAGCATGCCTATTACCAAACCAGAGATGGGAAACCCTTACAAATGCTTAAAAATTTAAGCACACTACTAGATAGCAATGTAAGCAACATAATGAGTCATTGAAAGAGGTCAGAAGGGCAGTCTAGTTGGGCCCATTCATTCATTCATTCATTCATTCATTCATTCATTCATTCATTCATTCCTCAAGTTATCTACTGAGTGTCCAGGTTGTGAATGTCCATTACTAAACACAGCACATGCTAACCTGTCTTGGAAAGTTCAAGGACCCAAGGAACACCTGGAGCATCGAACCATACCTTCCCACAAACCCTTAGGTCTCTCTCTCTGTCACTTTCTTGATGTAGAACTGTAGTAAAAGCCACCTTTCACTGAACAGGGGAACACATGGGACCGCCTATTCACGGGGCCCAGATCACCCTGTCGTGTGCCCTTCCAGCTTTCTTGAGATTACCCACATCTCTTCTAGAAGCCAGACCATGACCCAGAGGATGGACGGCCCCGTAATCATGCCTGGGATTTATAGCTGGATTGATGCTTAAAAGATGGACCCCAGGTCCCCTCCAGGTCAGATGCCTGCTATAACCTATGTAATAAATTTCTGGCTTAGGCAGACCAGAATCCCCACGAGACACAAACATAAATACTTGCGCTGCCATTGTCCAGCATGCAGCCCACTATACAGTAGGTGCTCATGGATGAGACCTGCCTTAGACCCTGGCCCAGTGCAATATGTGCAGTAAAGGGGCACCAGGTGTCCTGCCTGGCTCACAGGCAGGTCGAGGGCTGGACTGGGTGAGCATTTTGCCAGGCACAGAAAACTGTATGGGAACAATGCGGGTGCACAGGGACTGGTGCCCACACCCCTGGCATCCTGGGCAGTGGCTCTTACCGTGGTGTATTTTCCCAGCTGGCAGAGTGAGGGAAAGGTTTCCTGGTGGGCTTTGCGGATCTTCTCTGTGAGGTCGTCTAGCTCCGCTGTCATCTCGTAGCTCTCTGTGCATTCCTGTTTTGAAGGCTCCTTCTTCTTTTTATTCCTGTCATTCCTGACAGCTGGAAAAGAGGGGTGAGAGGTCATGGAGGGCCAGGCTGTGCACCTGAGCTAGACATCCCCTCTCCCAGCCCTGACACTTGGAATTCGAGCAGCAAGAAACGAGGATGCAGTTCTCAGCCAGGAGACTTGACGGCCTGTGGCAGAACCCTGCCTGCCTTTCTTGACAATGCGGTGTGCGCAGATCAGTCTGCGTAAGCTTGACCTTTAAGGAGTGCTCATGCAAGCTGGGTGGGAAGGTTCCTAAGAGATATCCTGAGTGACTGACTGTGCTGCAAGGACCGTCTCCTGGCTAGTTAGTGTTGCTGTTTTACTGTTGTTGTTTTGTTTGTTTTTCATCAACTTGCCACCATCTAGAGTTATCTGGGAAGAGAAAACTCAGCTGAGAAAATTCTTCCATCAGTTTGCCTATAGACAAGCTTGTAGGGTGTATCTTGGTTAATGACTGATGGATGTGGTAGGTCCCAGTTCACCCTGGCAGGGAGTCCTGGATCTTATAAGAAAACAGGCTGAGCAAGCCCCAAGGAGTAACAAGCCAGTAAGCAGCATTCATCCATGGCCTCTGCTTCAGTTCCTGCTTCCAGGTTCCTGCCTTGATTAGATTCCTGCCAAGACTTCCTTCATTGATGGACTATTACCTGGAAGACAGAATAACCCACCCCACAAATTGCTTTTGGTCATGGTATTCATCACAGTAAAGAAACCCTGACTAAGACAGCCCGTTATTCCTGGGAACCGGGTCCCACAAGGTTGCTTCGTAAAAAGTGTGGTCTATCTGAACAGTCTCATATTTACTTACTTTTTTTTTTTTTTCTTTTCAGAATCAACTGACTGCTACCTGGAAAGGGTGATAAGGCTGTGGTTTCTGTCCCTTTATGTGTTATTACTTTCTGTGTTAACCATACAACACACCATTACTTACTGTTATTTTAAACAGTACAAAGCCCTTACTGAGACAACTGTTTACTCATAGACTCCTTCATTCACAGACACCTTGTCCCAGGTCCCCTGTGGCAGCTGGACCTCAGCAGATGTCATGTGCCACCTGGCTCTGCATGTCCCAACCCAACAGGACACTGCCACACAGTGGTGTTCAGGACTCAGAGTTAAGAGACAGACTCCTCTAAGGGCCAGATCTCTCCATGGCTGAGTATAGTCCTGGGTTCTTGGCTAAGAGCTCTTGGAAGAAACCTGAAACCCAGGGAGGCAGATAAATGATACCAGATCACATGACCGCTCCAGGCAGTCCATGCTCACTGGGGTGTCAGGACCCAGGCTGCCTAGATGTGTGTGATGCCAGCATGACCTGGGCAAGTGTGATACAAGATGACCCAGGGCATAATCTGATCTGCCTAAGAGGATTTGGCCTGGCTGCCTCCCTAAGGACAAAGAGGCCACCAGGACACACAGTGCCCATACTAGGAGAGTCCTCGGGCCCTGTGTGGGTAGGAGGTGAGGGCAGAGGCAGGGTGGGTAGGGAGGAGGACAGGAAGGAAGTGAGAGCAGCCAATGGCACAGCAGAAAAGTCAGCATCTGTGTAAGCAGCTCACCGGGCCAGAAGGGACCACTGCTAGGAAGAGCAGAAATTTGTGGATATCTTGATTCCTAATCCTGGAGGCTTGACCACCAAACTCACCTAATCCTCTTTCAAGGGGCAGAGCCGCCAAGTTCTCTCTCTACTGTATCCACTTACTACCAAGCAGGTAGGCACATTGGAGAACACAGGCTGGCACTGTCCTTCTCAGCCCTGGAACAGAGCTGTTCTAGACAATGGAGAAATAGAGGCTCAAGTGAGGGGCCTCATGGTATCCCCTTGTAGCTCTGTGACAAGACAGATCTTCTTTGGAGATGTGGGAGAAAGGCCTCATGTTGTATAGTGTGTGTGTGTGTGTGTGTGTGTGTGTGTGTGTGTGCCTGTGTGTGTGCAGACATAACCAGCAGAAGCAGCACACAATAAGCTGGGCAGCACAGAGTGGCAGAATGGTGGTCCCTAGGTACTCCCAAGGGATGGTGTTCTGTCAGGTATTAGATGTTGTACCCCGAAGGCTTGTGTATAGGTGTCTCATGCTCTTGTAACAGACATTAGACCCCTTCTTTGACACACCTCTGTTTCAGTCAACACAAAGGTCAAACCTAAGCAACGACAGTCTTTTCTAAACAGCTCCCAGGGAGGTCTGACATTCCTCACACTTACCACACGGCCTAGCAGCTCTTGTCCTGCTACATACCTCAGAGAACCAACTTACCAGCAACATGCATGAAAAATGCAAGCATGGATCTCACCATTTTCACCACCGTCCCTAATAGCTTTGGTGTGGAACAGCCTATGTGTCTATCTGTGGGTGGCACGTACACCCAATGGCTTGTCAAATAATGGAATGTTACTTGCTAGCAAATGAAAGGAATACTGATGTAAGTTGTACTGCGGATGAACTCTGAAAACTGTACGAAGGGAAGAAGACAGTTGCCAAAGACTTAGTAACATACCTTCCCATGCAATCATCAGAGTCAGATAGCAGTGGCTGGGAAGGTTGGGGCTGCAGGAAAAAGGTTTTGGGTACGTGATGGTTACACAGCTTCTTCTTTCGGAAGAGAGGGTGTCTGCTCTCCACATGGCACAGGGCCAATACTTCCATGAACGGAGGACAGCTATGGGTGCACCTTCATGTGATGAATGCTACACCATGTGGCTTCTTGAGAAGTTTCTCAGAACACACATTTCTGAGGCCACAAGTCATTCAACACCTCTGACAAGAGCCACAGGCCAGATTTCTCCTTTGACCCTCAAACACACGGCATATCATTTCGAGCGAGGGGCAGCCAGTGTCTTAAGCTCAGGAAACCCCACAGGAACTGGGCCAGCAGTTCATCATAATTTCCCTTCTAGGGCTCAAGAACCCCCTCTCTGAAAGCAGGAGGAGATTTTGGTGGAATATACAGAAAAACAGAGAGAGGGAGAGACTGCAAAAGGAACATGCAGGCCCAGGGCCTTCTCTGTAGTAGTTGTTCCCAGAAAGCTATGTGCTGTGCTCCCAAGGACTCTACCTGTGAATGGAGCTGTTCTAGACACTAGAGAAGTGAAATTTCCCAGGAGAAGATACACCATTATCATGTGGACTGCAACCTGAAGCTTGGACTGCTTATACCATGACAGTCCCCTCCACTCCTCACAGCAACAGAAGGATGGGAGGATCAGGATCTCGTGGAGACCCTGAATCTTACAGGTAGCCTGGTGGTTCTGAGCTTCACACAGACTGTGGCTCTTCATGCTGCATGATACCTGTCACACAAAATGACAATGAAGTTCTGTGAAGGGAGTCACCAAGAATTCTGCATCCTCCACTCTGTGAGGGTCCTCGCTGGGGCGGCAGGTGGTGACGCAGGGGACAAGGACAATGCATTGAGAAGCGGTGAGATCCCTTTCTCTGGGAGTAGGAGGCATGGAACTGTGCTTTGTGGCAGCCTTGAACTTCTCCCTCCCCCAAAGGACCTGGCTGTTGCATGCAGAGACCCAGCCACAACGGCCTTGGGGTTTGACAAGAGGCTTTCCACCCCTGGAGAAGACGGTGGGCATACATGGTCAGCTTGCCTCGGAGCCTGCTCCTTGCGCCATTGCACTGGAGAATAGGAAAGGAAAGGCTTGCTTTTACTCCAGCCATACTCTCAAAGCTTGGTGGAGCCCAACCCACACTGGGCTTTCCGCTACTGTCTTGTGAATGGCAGGAAGGATGGGTGACTAAATATGGGATTCTATCCCTTTGCGGGGCATGTGTGTGGCCAGGCAGAGCTCAGCTGAGCTGTTGCTTCCCCAAATTAACAACCTTGCTGTCACCTCGTGGTCTGCAGGGAATTCACAGACTGCCCCTGCTCCTTCAGCAGTGGCCGGGAGGGTGATGTAAGGGTGGAGGTGTGATTTATGGATCTGTGATAGGACCTGGCCCCATGTTTGCAAAGCGCTTCTTGGAGTAAAGGTGCTTCATAAATATCAGGCATTCTACTCGTGAGGGGCAAAGTGCTACAAATCAGATTTGGTGGCATGAAAGTAACATATTTATGATCCACTATCATATTGCAAATGAAATGAATGTAATAAAAGTGTCACTTATACAAATACCTCTGATGTACAGATCCCGACCTATGAATATGAAAACAGACACCCAAGCACTTTTATTTGAATGTCTAATCATGGAAATAAATGAAGCCATGTTCATTTTAATGTGTGCACTTGTGCATGTATCTGGAATATTGATTTTCATGCACACGATAAAAATTTAATGCAGGAAACACGAGAGAGCTGTGAGTTCACATGGACCCAGGGAGAGGACACAGTGTTTTCCTGAAAATTCCTTGTCATCAACAAGAAAATGAACAAAAATAAATTTTTGTTCATAAAGGCTTTTTAAAAAAAATATTAAGTTTACCAAAGGGAGCACAATGGTCTATTTATTCTTGCTTGAAAATTAAAGTCTGAAATTCACAGATCCCAACTCCTCAGCTCCTTGCTAACTGCAGGAATAATGGGTCACAGTTGGTGACTGAAACTATCTTGTAACTGCTGTACTGAGATGCTCAAGAGAGGAATACGAAAGAATGGTTTAATGTGAGTTTAAAGACTGTTTTCTGGACTAATTATGTAAATGAACTGCCATGGACCTGAGGGCAGGTGGGTATATCAGGAATTTTTGAGGGACTGACTACTTTTCCCATAATTTAAGGATAGATCATGTGGTACTCAAACACGTAACAGACAAGCCTGGGGTGAAGGTGGCCTGAGCTGGGTGCAAGAACCCTTCCCACGCTGTACGGTGACCTCAGAGGTGGAGGCCGGCCTTCCCTAATAAACCACATACGCTGGCTGCAACTTAGACACAGATAAAGAGGAGTGGTGACAGGGTGGGCACTTGGCTTTCTTTCCGTTCATGTGCAGGTACTTTCGAACCAGCTTGAGGCCAGAGTACCCTGACTGTTTGTGGAATGGATAATGCTTTCATTCCTTGGGGCC